GGCCTCCCCTCTGGGCTGGTGGGTGCTCAGGCCCCAGTGATCCATCTCTTCACCCGGCCTGTGACCAGCAGTTTCAGCATGTGTGTGTGAGGCGTACGCGAAGCTCAGGGCTGGGGTTGCGGGGCACCCCATTAGGCTGAAGAAACCCACGCATAACACGAGAGGAAGGATTCACTCATTCCACTAAACTTTCTCATACGCCTGCTTACTGAGCAGGACCCTGGGGACCCGAAGGCCAGGCCTTGCCCTGCTCTCTCTCGGGAGGCTGGCTGCACAGTGGTAAAGGCTCTGTGGAAGTGTGAGTGACAAGGACCAGGCCTCACCTTGGGTTAAGAGCAGCCCTTAAATGGTGTGGGCCTATTTCTCCGTCTCTGTCTCCCTCTCCTTCCCGCCTTGGTTAGTTCCTGTCTCTGGCTTACGGAATCTTTGGATTTCAGGGCAGGAAGGCCCTAGGAATCATCTGGCTCCACCCCTCCTTTTACTCCTGAGAGAGCTGAGGGGCAGGGACAAACAGCTACTTGCCCAAGGTCACACAATTACTTTGGTGTCCTAGTTTATCTTTGGGTTTGGTTTGGTTTTGGTTTTTGGTTTTGTTTTTTTTTTTTTTTTGCTTCTTTCTATCATATTTGTCTTTCTTGTGTGTGTTTGCAAAACTGACACAGAAAGGCAAAGTCACACAAAGAGACAGCCGGCCCCCTTGATGGTATAAGAGGATGTCCAGGCACAGAAACATTCTCGCACAAAGGGAGAGGCGCCCAGCACTGCTCTGGCCTGGGAAGAGAACTGGAGGCAGCCTGGAGGAGGAGGATTGTGCCGTGAAGTCTCAGGCCTGATGTGCCCCTGTCCTGTCTGCTGGCTGGAGAAAGCTCCTCACCAGAGGTGGGGGGCTAAGGTGCAGACTCCCCTCCACCCATCTCTGGGGACTGGGCCTGGCCCCAAGGTCTAGCGGGGTTTCTCAGGGGCACCCAGGATTTAGGCCAGGCAGGTAGGCTGGGTCAGAGCCACCTCTGGGAGCCCTGGCATGCCCTGGGGTTTAGTGACCAGAGGAGAAGGTGAGAGCTGGTTAGCAATGGGCCAGAACACAGAACTCAGAGGTCCTTGGCCTGAGAGCTCCAGGTTGGCTCAGTTTCCATCTGTCTCTCTGTCTGTCTGTCTCTCACACATACACACACACACATACACACACACAGGCACAGGCCCCAATCCGTGAGGGTGATATTGCTGGGGGGGGGGGGGGGGGGGGAGATACAGAAAAGGGGGCAGGAAAGAGGTCTCTCCCTTCAGTCTGATTTCCTTTGTTCCTCCCTCGCCTTCCTCCCTCTCCCCTTCCCAGCTCCCCTCCTCTCCTCCTAGCCTCCTTCTTCCATTCCCCCTCCCCTGCCCCTCCTCCCCCCTCCCCCTCCCCCAGAGCCGGGTCCCCATAATGGGACCTCCACTGAAGGCCGGGAGGGTGGGACCGCGGGCTCGGCCTCGGCCCCCGCTGCCCATCTTCCCGCAGGGAAGGAGTTAAGCCTCCCCGCTGCATCCCTCCTCCCTCCTCCGCCTCCCCCGCCGCCACTGAGTCCTGCAGCTAGGCCCTGGGCTGACCTTCACCGGGAGGGAGGCCGCAGTGCGCATGCCCGGGCCGGCTCCCGTCCGGCTCCCGCCGCTGCCCCGGGCCCGGGGCGGGCGAGGACCAGGGCGGGCGGGCGGCCGGGACGTGCCCCCCGCGCCCGGCCGCCCTCCGCTCGGGCGCGGTGGAGGGGGGCCGCCGAGCCCGTCCCGCCGGCCGCGGCGCATCTCTCCCTGAGCGGGGAGAGGCGCTTTGCCATTTGGTGCTGGTGGTGCTTCGGAGGGAAGGAGAGATGGGGGGACGGCAGGGGGGACTCCGGCTCCGCGCCGCAGGGCGGCCGCCCTCTGCCCGGACATGCGCGCGGTCGGCCCAGGGCCGGTCGGGGCCGGGGCTAGGGGCCCAGTTCGGGCTGGGAGGAAGGTCCCCTGCCACCTGGAGTCGGGGCTGTCCCCGGGCAGGAGGCTGTGGCCGCGGCACTGCTGAGCGCTCTTCTGGGGCTGGGCAGTTGGGGACCCTGGCCTTTGTGAGGTGGGAGTCGTGGCTCCGGGCACCCACCCCTGCGCCTCTGCTTTCTGGTCTGAAGGCAGCCTCCCCTCCCTCTGTTGCACACCTGGGGTCGCCTCTGTAAAAGCAGCAGGCCCCTGGGGCCTTGTCACTCACATCTTGGGAATGGGATGTGGAGGTGGTCAGGATGTGCCTGTGCGTGCAAATCCGTGTGGTTCCCTGTCGCCCCAGCGCTTGCACTCGTGTGTGCCGGAGGGGCAGCATAAGGGTGTCTCCCAGAGAAGCGGCTGGGCGAGCGGGGGACGCCCTGGTGCTGGTGCTTGGGGTGGCTCAGGAGGGAGTCGCCGATGGACTTGGGTGACGCGCACCAGCTCCTTGGGTACCACCAGAGCCCTTGGTTTGACCACCTCCCGCAATCTCCGCCGCCACCGCCACCAGTCCCCTCACCGATGCTGGACCTTCCCTGCTGCCCTTCAGGTGCCCCTCAAATTTAGCTGTCCAAGCTGGGGTGTCCCTCAACCTCCTTTGTTGGCTTCTTCCCCCAGAAGGCCTCTCAGTGGGTTGAGAACTCTGAGCTTTAGGCAAAGCCCAGAGGTGTCTGCCCCTGCCCCAGGCCCCCTGAACCTCTAAGGTCTGGGATCTCACTTGCCCAAGCTGGAAGTACCCACAGTGGGTGGGGGTGCCCTTGGCAACTCACGCCTTCAGGTAAGTGGCAGAGCGTGAGCTCCATTCACTGGCCCACCGGGCTTGGCTTCAGGTGGTTGCAAGAGTTAGCAGGCATCGGATCGCCAGCCCCTGGGTCCCCGCCTGGGGGAAGGTAGCAGGACTTAAAGACCAGATCCTGATGTCAGGGGACCACATTTGGGAAACCGAACCTACCATCTCTGACACGGGTCAGGCAAGTGCCATTGCATGGCATTGTCTAGATGGTAATGGGCATTCAAAGAAGTGAAAGGTTGGTGCACAGGAGTGGAACCAGGGAAGGCTTCCTGGAGGAGGTGGGATCCATGCTCCAGCTTTAAAGGATGAATGTGATCTGGACAGGCAGATGAGCCATAGAGGGATTCTGGGCACAAGAACAGTGTGGGAGCAGAGGCTTAGAAATGGAAATGAGTGAGGGGTTTTGGAAGTTAGTGGACAGACTGGAGAGATTACCTCCCCAGGTGACCAGTAGAGACCTTCTTGGCCGATGGCAATGACCGTTACCACACCTTCAGGGCCTTCTACATGGGTGAGTCTGGGGGTGGGGGGAAGCTGGGTAGAGATTCGGTAGGAAGGGGATCTCCAGGTTCCTTGCTAAGCCAGCAGTAAAAGAGGGTTATCCTGGACCACTCTGGCCTTTCAGGAGATCGACAGCGGGCACTTCAGTGGTAGGTGACAGGCAGCAGCACAACTAGCGTCCGAGGAAATCAGGCTACAGGCGAAATGACTCTCGGGGCAGAACACTCCCTAGGTTCTTTATGTGACCTCTGAAGGCATTTTGAAGAACTTGGGGGTCAGGATCCCCGAGTGTAATTCTAGGTCTTCAGGGTATAACTTCAAATCAGTTTTCCAACAAATTCCCCCAGGCGTTTCCCCCGCGCCCTCACCTGGATCCAGACAGAGCAGCCCAGAGGGGCTGGGAAACTTGACCCTCAGTCGTCCCAAAGCCCTTGGGCTCTTTCTCCAGGAGGAGAGAGGGGCGTGGCCTTTGGGGGCAAGGGTGGTGCTGTGGTTCGCAGCCTGGTGAGCTCAGGGTTCGTCCCTCCTGTTTCCTGTCCCTCCTTCCCCCCAGGGACTGCCAGCTCCCCCCCCACACACACACACTGCCTCTTCTGGGGCTCCCTCATAATCCCACACTCCCTCTGCTTTCTTTGGGGCCTCGAGGCTGGCCCTACGTACCCAGCAGCCACCGCACCTCTGGGTCCCCTACCCCCCACCGCATGCCCCATTCCGAAGCCAGGAGGCCCAGCTCCCCGGTGCCCTCTGCCCGTCCGCCCCAGCAGCCACCCCAGCTCCTGGCCAAGCCTCACATTTTCTCTTCCTGTTCTCCTGAGTCCGACCCACCTCCCTTCTCCGAAACCCTTCCCCTCCTGCCCTCACTTTCTCACATAGAGACAGACAAAGACTCCCATACCCAGAAATAGACTCACACGGAGCTGGAAGACACAGGCCACGTCCTGCCACACACGCACCCGCGAGCGCGCACACGCACCCGCGGCGCCCGCGGAGCGAGGCACACAGAGGAGGCATTTGTCCGCGCACGCACATAAACATTCACACCCACAGCCACCGAGCCGTGCCCACACGAGGGTGCAGACACACACGGCGGGCGAGACAAGGGCGCACACATCTGTGGACGCGAGGGGACACCGCCTCCCCGGGCACACCCACCGCTGACGGCCTGGTGCCGGAGGAAGGCCTCCTCCGGGCTCCGGTTTCCCCCCCGGATTCCTCCCGGCGAATGTTTCCCTACTTGGCCTGCCCAGGTCTCCGGGGAAAGGGCCTCAGAAATGCAGCGGGAGCCACTTGGGGGAAAGTTGGAACGGACTGTTCCCTGCCTGGCCCTGCCGGCGAATTCCCTAACCGAGAAACTATTTGTGGCCGGAGCCCGGGGGGCCGGCGAGCCCCCCGCCGCCTCCCCGCGCGTCCCCTCCCCGCGCCGCCTCCCCGCGGGCCCTCGGGCCGCCGCGCCGCTGCCCAGCGCCCGGAGCCGGGCTGCCCGGCGCGCCGCGCCGCTTATCTGCGCTGTTTGGACAAGCGAGGGTTGGAAAGGCAGGCGTTTCTGTCCCCGCCGAGTCAACAGGCAGACCCCGGGCCGCCGGACTATTTCTGTCTTATCAGTGCAGGAATGCGGCAGCCGCGGCGGCGGCGGCGGCGGCGGCGGCGGCGGGCGGGCGGCGGCGGCGTGGGCCGTGGGCCGTCAGGGCAGCCCTGAAGGGGCCCCCTCCCCACTCCGCTCGAGTAGAAGTGTGAGAGAGCCCAGCAGGACTCAGAGGGGAGAGTTGGAGGAAAAAAAAAGGCAGAAAAGGGAAAGAAAGAGGAAGAGAGAGAGAGAGTGAGAGGAGCCGCTGAGCCCACCCCGATGGCCGCGGACGAAGTTGCCGGAGGGGCGCGCAAAGCCACGAAAAGCAAACTTTTTGAGTTTCTGGTCCATGGGGTGGTGAGTGGGGGAAAGTTAGCGGGGGAGGGTGAGCGAGCTGGCGCGGGCTGAATGGAGGGATGATCGGGAGGGGCCGGGAGGGGGCTCCCGCTCTCCCACCCCTCTGGCAGGGGCGCCGCGGCCCAGCCCCGGGACCGTGCCGGAGCCCTGGCACTCGAACACGTCGTCAGGCGGCGGGCCGGGGATGGGTGCCCGGGCGGAGACCGCGGGCGTTTGCACGGGTCCTTGTCAGGGGCTGGGGGTGGGACTTGGGGACTGTCCCCCCGCCCAAGTGGGGGAGTCCCCAGTGTACCTAACGTGTTGTCTTCTGTTCTTTTACTGGTGGGCCCAGGTGTTCCCCTGCCCCCTCCCCCGCCGGGGTGGGGGTGGGGGACATGGCATGGGGAGGCTGGGTTGTCTGCTCCTCCGTTGGGACAGTGTCTCTCTGTGTCTCTGAGAGCAAGGAGCAGGTGACCCTGGAGGCAGTGTGAGCGGGAAGCTCTCTGGCTGAACAACCTCTGCGTCCTGGCAGGAGGGCTCTGGGGCTTTGCGGATGGCCTCTGCCACAGGGGGTCAGAGGGAGACCCTCTCTAGGGACAGACCCCAAGTTAAGGGGTCTGAGGATCCTCCTGGCAGACTCAGCCACCAGAAGCCGATGTCCTTAATGCCTCAAAGGTGTGAAGGAAGGGCTGGAGTCAGGGATGTGAGGCCTAGACACCAAAGGGGCAGGACAGCGCAGTCCTGCCTCGAGCCCACTGGGAAGGGACTCAGGGAGCCTGAGGGAACCCAGGGTGACCTGAGGGATGGGACCTCAGGCTGAGGCAGCAGGCGCCAGGCTGGCAGATGTGCGGAGAGCAGTGGAATGGGAGAGGCTCTAAGCCTTGGGCTGGCTACTGGGTTTGGGTTGGAGTTGGGTACAGAGGAGGCAGTCAAGTTGACTATGGCCAAATTTGGTTGTGACCCCACAGAAGGCAACGTTCTCAGAGAGGGAGGCCAGAGTCCCTGGGACCTTGGCCCTTTGTGGGGTGGCCCTGGTGGCTGACGCAGCCCTCTGGGGGCTCTGGAAGTTTCCCTCTCAGGGCCTCTTCAGCAGATCAGCAAGTATTGCTGGCCTTGAAGAATGGGAGAGCAGCTGATTGGGTGAAGGGGGCTTCCCTGGGGCAGCCTGTCCTCCAGTCCCAGAGATCCCTGGGGCAACTTCCCAGGGGCGCCTCTGTCTGTCAGCTGAATTGCCAGCCCAACCTTGCTGCCTGGGGGAGTCCCTTTAAAAAAGGCCCATCTAGGAGAGAGAGGGGCTATACACGTGGATTTTTTTTTTTTTTTTTTTTTTTTTTTTTTTTTTTTTTCTTTTTTTTTTTTTTTTTTTTTTTTTTTGCCAGCTCAGAGCTTTGGTTCTCGGTGGCTGTGAGTCCCGCCACTGCACTCCCAGTACCCCATCTCTGCTGGTGGGGCTGGGCCTAGGCTCCATTCTGGGCCACCCACTCTGGAGATGTGAGTGACAGCGTCAGGTGGGACGGGGGAGGCGGACTCACGGACAGGCAGTGCTCACTGTGGGAGAGACGGACAGAGACAGCTGACTGGCCGGGCGTTAGGGTTAGGCACAGTGCAGGGCGAGAGGGACATACAGGAGAGTTGGCAGTTAGAAGGAATTCACCCCGCTCAGGCCTAGGGCACCTCCTTGTGCCTGGGGGCGGGGGGGGGGCATCTGCACTCCAGGGGCAAAGCGCAGAGCAAGTAAATGGTACCGGGCACAGGGGCCGCATCCCAAGTTCCCTAATCTTCCGCTTTCTGTCTCCCCATCACACCCACCCTCCACTTTACAGCCCCTCTGGCCTTCCCCAGTCCCTCTCCTGGAATCTGGACAAGTGGGATTTTAAAAGTCTGTGAAACACTTCACTTAATGAATTTGCATCTCAGCTACATCCCATCTGAGGTGGTGAGGGAATACACCTGCCTCATCTTGCCCTCCGTGGCTTCCTTTGAGCCCTGACTTCCTACCTCAATGGGGAGGGGAGCCGGGGGGAGCGGAGGAGTTCTATAGGAGCATCTCTGGTAATCCAGGCGGACAGGAAGGGGGACGCGGATGTCAGAGGAAATGCCAGTGCCTTTGAGCTATCCAAGCCCTCTGGGCAGCCCACCTCCAGCCCCTCCACCTCCTATCCTCTCTTAGAATCCTGGTAGGGTGTGACCTCACTGTCTCCGGTGGCCTCCATCCATCACCTTGGTAGCAAATTTTGGGGGTGGGGGTGTGGAGGCTTGGAATCAGCCAAAGGGGGTCTGGTGGGGCTGAGGGATCAAAAGCAGGGGCCCAGAGAGAAGACCTGGTTTAGATGGGGAGGAGGGCGGGTGCAAGGCAGGGCAGCCCAGGAAGTGGACTGGGAAGCAGAGAGCCGAAGGAGGGGCAGAAGTGCTAGCTGCGAGCGGGGCCTCTAACCTAGATGAAGCTGCAGAGAGCGAACAGCCCGGGGCCCTCAGGAAACGGCAGTTGGGCGCTGCCTCTGCCAGGAGGAGCTGCGTGACCTTGGCTAGGTCGCTTTTCTCCTTGAGCCACGGTTGCCTCATCTGTCAAGTGGGGTTGGAAGGACCCCCTCAGTCTGCCTCGCAGAGGAGCGTGTGGTTGTGCGAACATCCCTTGCAAAGGTTGAAAGGCGCCATTAATATTCATTTTCGCGGCACCTTCCGCAAAGCCGAGGCTGGCGATGCCCGGTGCAGATGCCTGGCTTCAGTTAGCTTCCCGCAGCGAGACGCAAAGCCCCCTCCGCCCAGCCGCGCGGTTGCGGCGCCCCTGCCCCTCCCACGCCTCGCTCACGCTGGCGGCATCAGGGTCACCGGCCGGGGGGCTCGGGGTGGGAGAGACGCGCCTCACCGCGCCTGGAACCGGGGCCCTGGTCTGAGCGGCGGGCGCCTGCTTCTGCTTCACCTCGGTCCCCACCCCACCCCCAGCGCCCCGGGATGCCGTCTGGAGCCCGGATGCCCCACCAGGGGGCGCCCATGGGCCCCCCGGGCTCCCCGTACATGGGCAGCCCCGCCGTGCGACCCGGCCTGGCCCCCGCGGGCATGGAGCCCGCCCGCAAGCGAGCAGCGCCCCCGCCCGGCCAGAGCCAGGCCCAGAGCCAGGGCCAGCCGGTGCCCACCGCCCCCGCGCGGAGCCGCAGGTGAGTGGGGCCCAGCGCGGAGGGGGCGGGCCACGGGCCCCCAGGGACGGGGTGGGTGAGGAGCGAGCCAGGAAGGAGCGGGGGAGAACGATCAGCAAGGAACGGGGCGTCCTCGGTGGGATGCCCTCTGGGGAGGTGGGCTGAGGGGGCACTCGTCTGGTTCCTTTGTGTGCCCACCGTAGACACTGAGGCTGCGGCCGTCGCGCCCTTCTCCCTGTCACCTGCTCAGTCCCTCTCTCCACCCCTTGCCCCCAGGTTCTGGGAGATGCTTCTGTCTTTGGGGTGGGGGTGGGGCTGGGGCTGGCCGTGGGAACTGAGGGCTTGCGCTTCAGGGACTGGGCTTCTCAAAGTGTGGCTGTCCAGAGCACCCTCCCCGGTCCCCTGGCTGGACTTGTGTAAAAGCCCCACTCCAGATAATTCTAAATCAGACTCTCTGGCCAGGGGGGTGGAGCCTGGGGATTTGTCTGTGGGTGGGTGGTCTTCCCACAGTCCTGCTCTCAGGTGATTCTTAGGGACTCAGAGGCTGAAAAGCTGCCCCAATCCCTCATCTGGACCAGGTCTACCCCCTAATCACCAGGGGCTGGCCCATTTCCCCATCCGAGCCAGCTGGTGTCACCCCAAAAGCCCCTGCTGCTGTCTGGCAAGAGAGATGCCCCTCTGGGTTTCACTATTTAACCAAACACACGTTTCCCTTGGCACACCAGATGGAGACCTATAAAAGGAGTGATATGGATTTTACCTCCTTATTAAATATTTTTTACACATCAAGGAAAATTCACCGTTTATAGGAATCCCATGATGAATTCTTTTGCAACGTGAATCATGCTTTTTATACAGTAAACGGGTTCCTGATTTGTCTCGTATGAACGGAGAATTTCACATAGACAGTTTCTTCGAAACAAATCAGACCTTTTGTGAGAGGTGCTTACCTAGCCTCAGAATAGGGTTTTGGACGGGAGGAGGCAGTGATTAACCCAAGGGCGGTACAGAGCCATCCTCCAGGCTGAGTTCTAATCTCGACTCGCCAAGGATTTTCTGCGGGTGCTCTTGGGAATCAGAAGCAGCTAGCGGGTCATGAAGAGTCCATGTCCCACCTGCCACCCCGGGGTTCTGCCCACAATCACACCCCACAAGAGAGCACTCTCTCTGCATCCCTATGGGGCTGTTTCTGGAGCCTGTTGGTAGGTGGTGGAAGGGCATGAACGCTCCCTGCCTGTCGGCACCCCCTTCCAAGCCCGGGTGCCAGGGGTACAAGTCCTCACCAGCTTCAGCCTTCACCTCCTGTTTCAGGGATGCGGGAGGGTGTCGGGTCCCCTCCCTCTGAGCTCAGGCCACCTTGGACTGTGCACCACTGCTTAACAGAAAGGGAAAGTCCTCAGAATGCCTCCTCCCTCTTCTCTGTCCTCCCCCTCCCTAGCTTTTCTCAAACACTTTTGCAGCTCCCCCACCCCCACCCTTCCTAAGTCTCAGCGTCTCTGGCCTGCGGATGTGGTGGGGTGGAAGGGGGCTCCCAGGGTAGAGAAAGGACGGGACCACGTCTGCTCCCCACAAGCGGACACAGCGCCATGCCAGACACCACTGCCATAGCCCCTTGGGCGGGCGGACAAGCGGGCTGTGGGAACCCCAGCTAGGCGGGTGGAGATGTCGGGATAATTTAGCAGGTGGCCTCGTTACTCCCAGATCTGTCGCCATGGTAACCTGGTTTTTTCTTTAAAAAATGTACAGTGCCAAGAGGAGGAAGATGGCTGACAAAATCCTCCCTCAAAGGGTGAGTGCCTTTCACAGCAGCCCCCAGCCCACCCCCCACCCTTTGCTGCTCTGCCTCCTCTCCCCCCACCGCCCCCCACCCTGGGCTGCTTCCCCTCCCCCGTCAGGAGCAGAGCTTCAGAGGCCCAGTCACTTTCACTGTTTGTTTAAAAAGCTCATTAAGAAGTGGGGCTCCCCGGCCAGAGGGAGGGGGTGGGGCAGAGGGAAGGGGCGGAGCCATCAGGGGCAGCGTCCGGGGCCTGGGGCTCAAGGACTGAATTCCAGCGGGTCCACAGACATAAAGGTGTGAGACAAAGAGGGCAGAAGAAATAGGGGACCAAAGGCGGGCAGAGGAGTGGAGGGAGCAGAAGCATCAGAAGTGAACCCAAGCCACGCTGGGGGGGTGGGAGGGACAAGGTGAGGCGCCCGCGTAGAGGCAAGCAGCGACGTCCTCTGTCTCGGGGACCCCAGAGTCCTAGCCACTTTGCAGGCACCCAAGGAAGGTCCAGAGGCCACGTGACACGAGAAAGGCCAAGATGAGGAGGTGAAGCCCGAGTTGCTGGGCCCTGTGGCCACTACGGCCTCCCCTGGTCATGAAATGCGTGGACCTCTTCTATGCCCACGTCCTTTCTGCTGGAAAGTCCTGGGGAGAAGTCCCCGTTTGCCCTCTCAAAGCTCCATGCCCTGAACCTGGCCAGCTCCCATCTACGCTCTTTGCTCCTCATACCCTGGGACCGCGCGACAAGCACGTTGGGCCTCCAGGACGGGCTGAGCCACTGGCTCCCTGCCTTCCTCCTTCTCTTCCAGATCCGGGAACTGGTCCCCGAGTCTCAGGCTTACATGGACCTCCTGGCCTTTGAGAGGAAACTAGACCAAACCATCATGCGGAAGCGGGTGGACATCCAGGAGGCCCTGAAGAGGCCAATGAAGGTGTCTTGATTCGGGGCAGGAAGAGGGCTCCAGGTCCTGTTCCAAGAACGGAGAGCGGGACTGCCCCGGGAGGGGGAGCGTGCCGTGGGCGCTCTGTATGACACTCTTTATTTCTACAGCAAAAGCGGAAGCTGCGTCTCTATATCTCCAATACGTTTAACCCTGCGAAGCCCGACGCTGAAGACTCCGATGGCAGCATTGCCTCCTGGGAGCTGCGGGTGGAGGGGAAGCTCCTGGATGACGTACGTCCTGGCCCAGGTCTCTCCAGGTGTCCTGGGGTGGGTATGGGGCTGAGCTGAGGACAGAACGGGTCGTTTGCACTATGGGTTAGGGAGTCAGCCCTGGCGGGGGGTGGGTGGCCTGAAGAGACATTCCGGGGGGCAGAGCCCTGCTTCTAACCATGATCCCTACCCGACCAGCCCCACCCACTCCCGACTCATCCTGGCCCCCACAGTCCCTGTCCTGCCCCCACGGTCCCTGTTCCTCTCCCGCAGCCCAGCAAGCAGAAGCGGAAGTTCTCTTCCTTCTTCAAGAGTTTGGTCATTGAGCTGGACAAGGACCTTTATGGTCCTGACAACCACCTAGTTGAGGTAAGACCCAGACCACTTTTGCCCCAGAACTGCCGCCTTTCCACAGACCACGGTCTCACCGGCCGCACAGATGGGGTCAGGGACCGCCCTGGAGCCCCTGCGGCCCCCCCCCCCAGCCCAGATGGGCCCGTGAGGTGACCCAGCTGTCCTCCCCCGGGGCAGTGGCACCGCACACCCACAACCCAGGAGACGGACGGCTTCCAGGTGAAGAGGCCAGGGGACCTGAGCGTACGCTGCACGCTGCTCCTCATGCTGGACTACCAGGCGCGTGCCCCCCGCCCCCCACGAGCCCCTCGGGCCCCCCCCCACCCTTCGTCTTTGGGGCGTGCCCTGGGAGACCCCATTCTCCTCCCTGCCTCACCTTCTCCCGAAGCACGTTTCCAAGGGGCCCAATCACCACGTCCCCGCCCGTCCCGGGCCGCCTGGCCTTGAGCTCTCTCCACTCCCTCTCTCTTACTGAATTCTCCTGGCCATCTTTTCTCAGCCTCCCCAATTCAAACTGGACCCCCGCTTGGCCCGGCTGCTGGGGCTGCACACACAGAGCCGCTCGGCCATCGTGCAGGCCCTGTGGCAGTATGTGAAAACCAACAGGCTACAGGACTCGCATGACAAGGAATACATCAATGGGGACAAATACTTCCAGCAGGTACCCTCTCTCCTGGCCCCGGGCACGCGGGGAGCAGGCAGAGGCACCAGTAGGGGAGGTGCCTCTACTAAGGCAACACCGCCCACACTTCTAGACTTAGCCACGCCAGGTTAGGAAACTCTGGAACCTTAAGAGGCCAACGGTTTGGGGAACACAATATTCTGAGCACTTGGGAGTCAGGAGCCCTGGGTTCGAGTCCTGGATCCAGACTCTCCCAAAGGAGAGATTATTATTCCTAATACTCTTTGAAGAAACACAGCAGATAAACTCGAGGAGTAAAATAACAGTCGGTGTTTATTGAGCCCTCGCCATGTGCCAGGCACGCCTGCGGGCACTTAACGTGCACCGATTCATTTAGACCTCACCGCCGCCCCGGGAGACAGGTGCGGCGACCATACCCACTCTGGGGATGAAGACACCGAGGCCTCAGAACTTAGGGGACGGGCTCAAGGTTGCACTGTTAATGGGAAGAGGCAGGATTGGCACCGCGCCAGCCCCCACCCCCCCCCACCCCGTGTTGGCGCTCCACCACCCGCAGACACCCTAGGCCCGGCCCCAGGAGCACCGAGGGGTTGGACTTGCGCTTGGCGTCGCCTTCCCAGGATGGACAGATCTAGGACTATAGCTCTACCCTTTTCAAGCAGATGAGCATGGTCTCTCTCTCTCTCTCTCTCTCTCACTTCAGATTTTTGATTGCCCCCGGCTGAAGTTTTCGGAGATTCCCCAGCGGCTCACAGCTCTGCTGTTGCCCCCTGACCCAATAGTCATCAACCACGTCATCAGGTGAGGCCCCAGCTTGCTCCTCAGACCGGAGAGTCACTGCCATCCTGCGCTTCCTCCCCCCACCAGCCCACCCCGCACCCCCTATCCCCCCCACCCGGTCTGCCCCTCGGGCCCCTGGCCTCTGTCGGAGCAGCGCCGACACCGAGGGCTGGACTTCCCTGGCAGCGTGGACCCGTCGGACCAGAAGAAGACGGCGTGCTATGACATTGATGTGGAGGTGGAGGAGCCACTGAAGGGACAGATGAGCAGCTTCCTCCTGTCCACGGCCAACCAGCAGGAGATCAGCGCTCTGGACAGTAAGGTGGGGCCAGAGCCCAGAGCTGGAGTGGGACATTAACCCAGAAATGACACAATGCGGACGACAGACAGGGCAGAGGCCCATGGAGAGGTGGAGGGGGCGTGTGGCCTTTCCCTCGCTGCCACTCGGAGCTCTGCCCACCCCCCCATCCTCTGGGGCTGCAGAGGCATCAGGGACCCAAGGGACTGCCCTTCAAAGGAAGTATAGATTCTCGGGCCCCCCACCTCCCCCGCCTCCCCATGGCCAGGCGAAAGCGTCTGTCTTTCTACCTGCAGATCCATGAGACGATTGAGTCCATAAACCAGCTCAAGATCCAGAGGGACTTCATGCTAAGCTTCTCCAGAGACCCCAAAGGCTACATCCAAGACCTGCTGCGCTCCCAGAGCCGGGACCTCAAGGTGAAGGGGCCTCGGGGGGCACTGGATGGAACACAAGCACATGTCACGCAAGGGCCGGAGGGGTCCGGGCTCAGGGCTGACCCCGCTGCTCCCTCCCAGGTGATGACAGACGTGGCAGGCAACCCTGAGGAGGAGCGCCGGGCCGAGTTCTACCACCAGCCCTGGTCCCAGGAGGCTGTCAGCCGCTACTTCTACTGCAAGGTGTGCAGGGGCCTGCGTGCCTCAGGCCTCCCTTCTCAGCCACTTCTACCAGCCCCCTCAGCACAGAGGTGCCCTCCCGGCTCCCTCTGGCTCTCCCAGGGGGGCTGGGTGGCCAGGACCGTCCTGTCACTCACCAGCAACAGCGTAACCCTGCCGCTGCTCTTATTTCTCTAAAGATCCAGCAGCGCAGGCAGGAGCTGGAGCAGTCGCTGGTCGTGCGCACCACCTAGGAGCCCCCGCTGCTAGGATGACCACCGCGGAGGGTCCCCCAACCTGGGCCGGGCCCGCTCCCCCAGCTTTGCCATCGCGCCTCGGACGCCTTCCGGTGAGGCAGGGGAATGATTAAAGCTCGTGCATCTGAGAGCAGCCTCGTGTGTCATTGGCAACCGGGGAGGAAGGACGGGGGGGGAAGGCAGCGGGTCCCCCCGGGAAAACTCCCCCCCAACATGCTCCTCCTTCCTCCAGTTCCCCTAGACCTAAAACCAGTTTGGCAGAAGACACTTTTAATAACGTTTTCTTATTAAAAAGAAAAATACAGCAACAAGCTCTCCATCTGTCCGTCCGTCCTGCCTCGCCCGGCCCGGGGCCGCGGCGCAGAGGGGAGCCCCGCGCAGGGGTGGGGCCGGGCCGCGCTAGGTGCTGTTGGCCTGCTCCTGCTCGAACAGAGCCATGGCGAGCTGGGCGCGGCCCCCCAGCCCCTCCAGGTTGCTGAGGCGGCAGCGGTGGTAGAGCTCCTCGCTGAGCCGGGGGCTGCAGTCCCGCACGGAGAACTTCTGCACCAGCCCTGGCTCCACGGCCCGGAAGAGGTGGAGCCCTGAGAACCGGAGGAAAACATCCATCACCTCCAGCCCCTCCAGGGCTTCCTCCTCTTCCTGGCCTGCCAGTTCCCCGGCCAGGCGGGCTCGGGCCGCCAGGTAGTCGGCGTTGTAGAAGCAGCCCTCCGCGGAAGCCTGCCGGTCGAACCTGCCGCCCGTGGGAGCCCCCCGGGAAGGGTCGGCACCGGGAGGGGACGGGGGGTCGGGGCCAGCCCCCGGCGGCCCCGGGGGCGACCTCTGGGGAGCCAGGGCGGGGTTGAACTCCTGGAAATGCACCGGGAAGAAGGCCTGCCAGCCGGAGATGGCATTCATGCGGCAGCGGTTGAGGACCTCGGGCCCGGGCCGGGTCCACACGGTGGTGAGGAAGAAGAGCGTGTCCACGGGGTGCTTCTTCGAGACCACGTCCATGAGCCGCACCTGCGAAGGGGCCTCTGCGCGCACGGCCAGCCAGGCCAGCCTGGTGCCGGGGTACCGCCGCTCCAACTCGGCCGCTGCGGCCTTCACCCCAAGAAACGGGTCTGGGGCCCCTCGGCCACCTTCCCGAGGTCCGTAGACCAGCAACAGCGTGAGCAGCGCATGCTCTCGTGGCTCCAGGACGCTGGCCGCAAAGGCCTCGAGGAAAGCGAGGGCGGCGGCGGCTTCGGCCACCAGGAGTGGCAGCACCAGCTGCACGCGGGTGGCCTCGGTGACGTAGGGCATAGGCAGGATTTCCACACGGCTCAGGGGCCGCAGCAGGCTGACCCTGCGGGCCAGGGCCCGCCGGTGGCCGCGCTGCGTCACGGCCTCCAGCAGCAGGTCCAGGGTGTACTCCATGCCCCGCGCCGGGTCGAAGCGCCGGTAGCCGTTGAGCAGCCGCTGCTTCTGAAAGCGCAGGCGGGGCTGGTAGCGCCTGTTCAGCTGCTCCAGGGCCGTCTCCACGGCGTCGCCCACATCTGCCCTGCTCGCCCCCTGCAGGGGGCACTTGGGGGACCCGTCTGCGCAGGAGAAGGTATGCTGCTCTGTGAAGTAGTCCCAGCCCAGCACCTCAAATCGAGAGTGTGGCGTGAAAGGGGCCGGGAGCCCAATGGGCCAGCTCAGCCCTGCCTCGCCCTCCGGGGTCAGCACGGTCAGGTTCTGGATCTGAGCCTGGGGGCGGGGGGGAGGGGGTGAGGGATGCATGGTTAGTGCCCTCTAGGTCATCAGGACCCGACCTAGCTCCAGCGTCCTGACTCTGTCGCCACTTAGTGAGGTGCCCCCCGCCTTTAGCTAATCGACTAATTCCTTGTTCTTTCCACCCTCGTCTGTGACACACAGAAAGCATATGAATCACACCCACCTTACCCAGCCGCTGTGAGAAGGAAGAGGTGGGAAATGGGCTCTTGCAGAGGTTAAAGCTCGCAGCCTCTCTCTCCAGACCCAAAGTACATCCTCTTCGCAATGGAACCTTTGCTCTCACCTGTATTCCACCTCCGACACCCGCCACGAGCAACTGGCGGGTTCCTCCACATCTACCCCTGGGTTTTTTAAGGACAGTGCTAGAAATTTAGGACTTTCTAGGCTTCCGCTCCTCCAGTGGAGAGGCATGACTGGAGAGGAGATGGGGCAGTCGTGTCTAAGGGCCATGCTGAGCCCTGATCCTCACAGTTCGCCTGCAAACACTTTTAACTGCACCCAAGCCAAGCCAGGGGCTTATCTTACGACTGACCTGGGTCCCCAAGGGTCCCTTCTCCTTGGAGTTGTTTCCCACGCCTACCTCGCCAGCCTCCCCGCTCACGGTGCCCCTGGATGCCTGCGGCTCCCTCTGACCCCCAGCCGTGGACCCAGGCTCACCTGCAGCTCCTCTATCTCGCTGTACGCCCGCTCCAGCTCCAGAGCGCTGAAGCGTTTGTGGAGCCTGTACATGAGGGTTCCCTCGGAGACGGGGTGCACGGCGAAGGCACTCAGGAAAGCCGAGCTCCCCTCCTTCTCAGGGTCCCTATTTTTGGCCAGCTCAAATGAACGATACTGCTGCCCCTAAAGGGACCGATCAGACCAATCAATGCCACACACAGAGACGGGGCTGCCCGTCCCAACCACCCTTAACCAAACTCCACATTCAGGCCTTGTACTGCCACTGTCACGACGGAGGAGAGCAGGAGCTCATTCCAGCGTTCCCTTAAACTTGGCCTTAGTCTCGCTACTGGACTTGGGAAAAAAGAATGTTAGGTAGACAATTAAAGAACCCCAGGGCTTCAAGGAAACCAAAGCCTGAAAGCCACAAGCCAGCAAAGACTCCCACGACTCCAGGTTACTGTACTCCTCCAGGACAGTGGCCATCTCTAGGACATTCCCAGACCATTTGTGACTGTGCATGTGTTGGGGGGTGGGGGTGCAAAGGGCAGGGAGGCCGATGGGAGGAGCTGGCCAGTAGGGGCACCTTTCTATCTTGCTCAGAGGGTCCCTGACAAGATGCCACTTTTGACAGCCCCAGGGTCCTAGTTGGGGTGGGTGGCTAGGAAGGACCAAACCCCACGGGGCTGCTGGGAAGGAGCCAGCAGCACCCACCTCAGAGACCAATCACTCAGCCACTACCAGCTGTCAGCGGCCAAGACTGACTTGAAAGGGCTGTCACCTGGTGCTGTGAGACACAGCCGATGCCCAGGGAGTCGATGAGGCAGCGGCCGAGCCACTCATCGGGCCGGGCGCTGAGGATGTCCCCGCGGCAGCCATCAAGATGTGGCCGCAGTCGAAGCAGGAGACTCCGCGACAGCAGGTAGCCAAAGCCCCCATGGCAGTACCGGGCCTGCTCGCCGGCGCCAATGAACTCCTCTGCTCGGCCCAGGTACAGGTCTTGGTTGATGCTGAGGTGGCCAGCAAGGGCCGCCAGGCGGGGGGCCTGGACGTACGTGTCATCCTGCATGATGAAGAACCAGTCGTAGTCGGCCCCAAAGTGCGTGTGGAGGTGGCGCAGGGTCTCTGACATGAGCCAGGCTGGCCGCTCGTCCCCATGAGACACAACCTGCATCCCTGTAGGAGTCCGGGCCCCTCGCTGCCCCGTGAAGTACAGTAATCGAGGGAAGTGGTGGGCCACCGTGCGGTTGACAGCCACAGCCAGAGTGGACAGGGTGGCCCGGGAAGTCAGGACAGCCACCAGCAACCGCTCCCGGGAACCCAGCTCTGTCTGGATGTACCGAGTCCTGTGGAGGGACCAGCATGCCAAGGGTCAACTCCTTAATCTTTAGGAGCCCAGTCTGTCCAGCACACACCCCCCTCTAGGAACGAGTGAGTTGGGGGTTGAGAAGAGAGAGAGAGGCCTTCTCATCAATATTAATGGGCTCCGCTGACACTGGCATTCGTTTGGGGACGGGCCTACTAAGGATGGATTAGATGATTAGATGCAATTCCCTCCCTGTTTAAAAACATCCCAACATTGGGGCGCCTGGGTGGCTTAGTCGGCTAAGCGTCCAACTTCAGCTCAGGTCATGATCTCACGGTTTGTGGGTTCGAGCCCCGCGTCGGGCTCTGTGCTGACAGCTAGCTCAGAGCCTGGAGCCTGTCTTCCAACTCTGTATCTCCCTCTCTCTCTGACACTCCCCAGCTCATGCTGTCTCTCTCAAAAATAAATAAAAACATTAAAAAAATTAAAAAACAAAATAAAACATCCCAACACTAACTTAACACCAATTTCCTCAAACCTGAGAGGGAAAACATAGGAACAAAACCTGACGGGTAACAAGGCAAAGACTTGCTCTAGGAGCCTACCACTGATGGCCAGCAAAGGCGGAGACAAGGACTTGGAGCGGCGCTCAAGTGGGGTCTGGGGGAGGGGGGGGACGTGCACACATAGCTCTCACCTGAGCACCTTCTTGTAGGGCTTGTTGGGATCCCTGTAGTAAGGGACAATCCGGGGTTTGAAGTCTTCATCACTTTGGTCGAGTCCAGTTCTTGAGTCTGGATTATGTGGCACTCCGGGCCCCCCCACGGCCTCTACACAGGGATCTTCTCCCTCACCCTGGATCCAGGAGACCCGCAAGAGGCTCAGGCTACACCCCAGAGATAGCCCGAGGATGAGGGGCAGCGCCGGGCGCAGCAGATCCAACAAGGAGCTCAGGCGCATGGTGGCAGGCCCTGCCACGTGTATGCCCCAGAGGGGACCGCCTCAAGGGTCAATCAGGATGATGGGCAGCCGGCCAGGGGCAGACCTAAGGTTTTACCCAGGAAGCCCGGGGCCAATGAGGTCAACGGCACAGCAAGGTGGATCTGCTGCCAGGCCCGGCATCCCCAGGAAGCCTATGCCTGGGCTCTAGTCCTCAAGGTGCCAGATTGAACCCTTAGTCTAAATAGCAGTAACTATTAGAGTCAATTTCACCCACTAACGTGATTATGGTCTGTCTTCCAGAAGGATGAGGAAACACAACTCAATCCTGACAAGTCTAGCCCAGAAAGAAGGACTACACGCATCTGCAGACGGGATCTAAGTGGAGACAGCAGAGGCTAATCAAGAAGCGACAGCCCCAAGTTCAAGAGCCTGCATCCGCAGGCCTCTGTCGAAGAGCGCCAGGCTGGGGGCCCGTGGCTCACTCAATTCACCCAAGTGGTTGCTGACTAGCTACTGAAGGCGAGCACAAGGGAAGGGTGAAGGGCCTTTTTCTACTCTACTCCTGAGTGTTAAGGAAACCGCAGCTAGAGTTACCCTTCCTCCCAGGTGGGAGCCGTCAGGAGCCCCTGGCCTGGGACGCAGGTCTGCCCACCCAAACGAGGTCGACAGACAGGGTGACTCGGCACTGGGTGCCTCTCAGAGGAGCACAATGGCTGATGAAGCCATTTTGCGGGACATTCTCTGAACCCCAGCTGCTGAGAGGCTGGTGCTGACCACTTTCCTGTGAGTAGAGACAGGGAGCAAGCGACAGTAACTCTGGCTGTGTAACAGCAATTCGGTGTCTGGTTTTACCAGGGCCCCAGGTACCCAAGCCAAACCAGAGTGGGAAGACGAGAAGCAGTGGGAGATAGCACCAGGATCCTGCGAAAACGAACGGAGGCTGGGCTGGCTTGGGAGGTGACCGCTGCCAAGGACCAGAGCCTCTGCTCTATCTACCTCTCGGCGATCAAAGGCCAATTCTAGTCCTAGAAAGGCGGCCCAATGCAAGTTTTAGCTGTTAGTCCCCAAACAGAAACAAAACGGGCTGCGTCACAGAACTGTCGAGGAGGAGCTGGGGGACCTGGCTGCGTTTGTTCCGGCGGAGGTGATGGAGGTTCGCGGCTGGGGGCGTAGGGCCAAGGCCCCGTTATCAGGCCCTTCGGGGGGGGGGGGGGGGAAGGCCCTGCCCGAGCCAGCGGACGAAGGACAGCAGGCACACCTCACCGAGGGAGGCCCTGCAGCGGGGCCGAGGGAGGCGGCGGACCGGTAAAGGGCGGCCCAGGTGTGGCCCACGCGGCCGGCACCGTCCTGGGGAGCAGGGGCGAGGGCGCGGGGGTGGGACCTGCTCCTGTCCTCGGAAGCGGCGCCCTTGTCGCCCCTGCAGGGGGAAGGGGAAACAAACCCCAATGCCCAGCCGAGGCGCCGGCTCCGCCGCTGCAGCCGCTGCCACCTCACAGCCCGGCCCGCGCCTTCCTCTTCCGCTAGCCGTCAGTCCCGGTCTCTATGGTGACCGCATCCGGTCGCTCGCCCCGCCTCCGCCCTCTCGGTGGTCTCCCCGCCCCGCTTCCCGCAGTGCGCAGCCGCAGTGGGGCGACGTGTCCGCCCGGCCAGGCTCCCGCCCCCAAGAGCAGCCGTGAGTTCCTCGGACGCTGATACCGGTGGCCTGAAGGTGCCCCCACATCTTCAACCTCAACTTTTATCTGCCTTGGGGGAAAAAATGCCCTTCTCCTCGACTTGTCCCAACGGGCTTCGGAACCCAGTTATTACAGAAATGTTAGCTGTTGGCCCACGAAGTCTCAGGCCGTCGTTGGAAGTACTGAGTGAAGAAGTGCGTAGACGAAGGGGGCATGGTTCCTGCCCCCAGGGAGCTGAGAGGTGAGGGAGACAGACATGAAACACACACTGACGTACTAAGCATACGAACTTCAGTAGAAATCACAACCCTGTCATAGGTACCATTGCAGAAAGTAGAGGCCGGTGGAAAAGCAGGACACGAGGAATTAGACTGGGAATTCGGAAACGCTGAGATCCAAAGATTCAGTAAGTTACCCAGACAAAAAGGGGAGAGTTTTCTGGGCAAAGAAGAGAGCACATAGGCCCTGAAAGAGGAAAGATACAGTGTCGTAGAGAAGAGCTGGGAAGGCCAGCGCAAGGGGAGGCTGGAGGGCAGGCAAAGCCTTCAAAGGACCAGAGCAGGATCCCAACCAGGATGGAACATCCCTAACAGGCAATTTGCAAGTGTACAGGGACAATCTTGTCATATGGTTGGGGGGGGGGGGAGCGCAAGAATGCTAACTATTTATTTCTGAGAGAGAGACAGCATGAGCAGGGGAGGGTCAGAGAGAGAGGGAGATACAGAATCTGAAACAGGCTCCAGGCTTTGAGCTGTCAGCACAGAGCCTGATGCGGGGCTCGAACCCACAAACCGTGAGACCATGACCTGAGCCAAAGTCGGACGCTAACTGACTGAGCCATCAGGTGCCCCTATATTTATTCATTTTTTTGAGAGACAGAGTGAGACACAAGCGAGGGAAGGACAGAGAGAGAAGGAGACGCAGAATCTGAAGCAGGCTCCAGGCTCCGAGCAAGCGGTCAGCACAGAGCCCGACACAGGGCTCGAACTCACGAACTGCAAGATCATGCCTGAGCTGAAGTCGGATGCTCAACCAACTGAGCCACCCAGGCGCCCCTGTTCTCTGCAGTTAAGAGTCTGGCTTTTGTTTGTCTCTTTTTTTCTTTGATCATTTGTTTCCTAAATTCCACATGAGTGACATAATATGGTATGTTATGTGTCTTTCTCTAACTTCAGTTAGCATTATACCCTCTAGATCCATCCATGTTGTTGCAAATGGCAAGATTTAATTCTTTTTATGTCTGAGTAATATTCCACTGTGTGTGTGTGTGTGTGTGTGTGTGTGAAAATCACATTTTCTTTACCCATTCATTTATCAGTGGACACTTAGCATTGTTTCCATAGCTTGGCTGTTGTAAATAATGCTGCAATAAACATAGAGGCGCATGTATTTTTTTCAATTAGTGTTTTCATTTTCTTTAGGTAAATACCCAATGATGGAATTATTATATCATACGGTAATTCTGTTTTTAATATTTTGAGGAAACTCCATACTGTTTTCCAGAGTGGCTGCACCAGTTTGCATTCCCACCAACAGTGCGTGAGGGTTCCTTTTTGTCTGCATCCTCACCAGCATTTGTGGTTTCTTGTCTTTTTGATTTTTGGCATTCTGACAAGTGGCATTATGATTTCGATATCAATTTTCCTGATGATTAGTGATGTTAACCATCTTTTCATGTGTCTCCTGGCCATTGGGGGGGAGGGGAAATGTCCGTTCATATCTTCTGCCCATTTTTAAAATTGGATTTGGGGTTTTTTTTGGTGTTGAGTTTTATAAGTTCTTTATATTTTTTTGGATACTAACCGCTTACTGGATATATCATTTGTAAATATCTTCTCCCATTCGGCGGGCTGTCTTTTTGTTTTGTTTATGGTTTCCTTTGCTGTGCAGAATCTTTCTTATTTTGGTACAGCCGCAATAGTTTAATTTTGCTTTTTGTTTCTCTTGCTGAAGGAGACATATCTAGACAAATGTTTTCATAGCTAATGTCAAAGAGATTACTGCCTATGTTGTCTTCTAGGAAGTTTATGGTTTCAGGTCTTACATTTAGGTCTTTAACCCATTTTGAGTTTATTTTTGTGTGTGGTGTAAGAAAGTGGTCTGGCTTCTCCTCCTCCTCCTTCCTCTTCCTTTTCCTCTTCCTCTTTTTCCCCTTCCCCTTCCTCTCCTTCTCCTTTTCTTCTTCTTCTTCCTCTTTTTTCTTCCTCTTCCCCTTCTTTTCTCCTTCTTCCTCTTCCCCTTCTTCTTTCTCTTCTTCTTCCCCTTCTTCTTCTTCTTTCTTCTTCTTTTCTTCTTCCTCTTCTTTCTTCTTCCTCTTCCCCTTCTTCTTCTTTTCTTCTTCTTCCTCTTCTTTCCTCTTCCTCTTCCCCTTCTTCTTCTTTCTTCTTCTTCATGTAGCTGTCCGCTTTCCCCAGCACCATTTGTTGAAGAGACAGTCTTTTTCCCATTGCATCTCCTTGCCTCCTTTGTATCCACATACAATCTTTGAAATTAATGGTCATTTTACACTTACAGAACACCTCAATTCGGACTAGCCACATTTCCAGTGCTCCAAAGCTACACGTGGCTAGGCTACCACAACATAGTTCCAGACCCTTCTCAGTTGCTAGGTTTCTAGGTAATTTTGGATGAGATATGTACTTCCTCGGGCCTCAGTTTCTTCATATTTTATCTTCTTAATTTCTTAAGTAGCTTCTACACCCAGTATGGAGCTTGAACTCATGACCTCAAGGTCAACAGTTGCACATTCCATAAACAGAGCCAGCAGATACCCTCAGTTTCTTCATATTTTAAAGAGAGTCCAGACCAAATGTTTTTGCTTCCAGCCCTGACCTTCTGTGATATTTCATACTTGGCAGTTCTTTTCTCCCCTCTACCCACATCTCTCTCTGACTCTCCCTCCCATTTTCCCAGTTCTCACCAACCATCCCCAGGTCTGTGCCCTGTATGATCTAAACCCTTGGTGGGACTGGCAGAACTCCTTCTAAGTGGCCAATAATTTTTCTAAGCCACTTTTACTATCCAGGGGGGAGTCTCTGCCCAGCAACTGTTGATCATGGGAAACCATGGATGTGATTGGTTGCTATATGGGTGGTTTCAGACAAGCAGCTATTTAGTCTCTCTCTGGTCAGCCCAAGCCATTTGACAAAGGTGAATTTCTGGAAACAGGAGATTCCAGCCTTAAATCCTGGTACTGTCTCCTAGCAGCACTGTTGTTTTATTAACAGCTCTGTGCTTTTGTTTCTAATCTACAAAATGGTAATAATACCCCCCTCAGAATTTATGGGGGAATTAAGTGGGATAGCATAGATGTAAGTGCATAATAAACGTTAGCTCTCTGTTACCTGTTACCTGCCTCAACCATGTGTTTTAATGAGGCTGGGAGAGGGAGGCATACGGTCAGCAGTGCTCCCAGAAGGCTAGGTGCTTGGATTAGTGATTTTATATGACCCACAAGAATATATAACTCCTTTGCAGTTAACTGTTGTCTATATTCTTTACCTAAAACAATGTTTTCACCCATAGTAGATGCTTAGTATTTGTTAAATATATTAAATAAGTATCTAGTGCCTACTTAGGTAAGAATTCTACTAGTAGCAGAATTCAGCCTAGCAGAACTCCGGCTAAGTAACACTTAGCCAATTAACAAAAACTAAGCTCTTCGTTTAACACCTGTATGAGGCAAGTACTATTGTCATTTCTGTTTTACAGAGGAGAATGTATTTTGCCCAAGGTCACACACTGTAAATGACAGAGGAGGGGTTTGAATTCAGGCAGTCTGCCCCCAGAATTCATGCTCTTAGTTATGCTATGACAAGTGAGGTCCCCACCTACATACTCCAACAGCATGCGTAGGTCACTTTGATGGCACTTATCACCTGAATGTCATGGTTTATTCTTTGAATATTTTTAATGCATATTTATTTTTTTATGTTTGTATTTAATTTTTGAGAGCGAGAGAGTGTGAGCCAGGGGGAGGGCAGAGAGAGAAGGAGACACAGAATCTGAAGCAGGCTCCAGGCTCCGAGCTGTCAGCACACAGCCTGGCTCAGGGCTCAAACCCACAAACTGTGAGAACATAACCTGAGCTGAAGTCTGACGCTCAACTGACTGAGCCACCCGGGTGCCTGTTAATGTGTATCTATTTTGAGAGAGAGCCAGCAGAGAGAGCACGGGAGCCAGGGAGGGGCGGAGGGGCACAGCGCAAGCAGGCTGTGCGCTGACAGCACAGAGCCAGACATATGGCTCAATCTCACAAACTGTGAGACCATGACCTCAGCCAAAATCAAGAGTCCTAGGGCTTAACCAACTGAGCCACCCAGGAGCCCCTGTTTACTCTTTCAATGTTCCTTAATTGTGAGCTCCCTGAGGTCAGGGAATAGCTTGTTTCTGTTGCAACTCCAGCATCTAGCTCTGAGCCTAACACACAGTGGGCACTTTATTGGTGGTGGGTCTTCTAAAAAAAGCTGTGTTCAAAGGCACGAAGGCATGAAATGGCAAGGCTTACTTGAAATACACGTAGATTCTACCGGAACATCAGGTTTGAAGAGGAAAACTAATTCTATGGAGAGAGGAGTGAAGGGTTTTTTTTGTTTTTTGTTTTTTTTTTAAACTCAGGTGGGAGCACTTTTGGAGAATGTGCTCAAAGGGAGTCAAAGCTCCGTTCTGCTTCCCTCCAGCTGTGCCACTGATGGTGCGGCATGGCTGATCAGAAGCCTGGAGAAGTAACAGGGATCACAAATGGCCTACCTTGTATTTGAGGCTACAAATTTGGGATAACGGGCAAGGTTACGTGACTAACTGATGATACCGCTGAACTCAGGAAATGG